ATCCCCAGCTAATTCCCAGCATCTCAGAGGGAAAAGGGTGCTTCTGGACCTTGTCCTCTCCGACCTAACGAGGGCCCTTGAGAGATGCCGCTGTGGCATCAGTGGGACACCACAACAAGGCGGCACCAGCCAGCCAGGGATTCGTTAGCGGCAGCTGCCCGTGTGGTTGGCCATGCTTCAGCCCCTCACGCTGCGCTGCCTGGTGGCTCCTGGGCTGCTCTGTCTTGTTCCCTGGAAGGCAGATCACCTCCGGTTTGGTAGTTCCAGGCCCTCCGCCACCCATCACAAGCCCTGTGCTGGGAAATCTCCAAGCGCGGGAAGCAGTGCATTGCCTACCCCAGGATGGAGGAACTTCAGGGGCTGAAAAATCCAAGGAAATAAAAATCCAATAACCCAGCTTCTGCTGATGACTCCAAAGGGCACCTTTGGTTCCTCCATCCCCTGGGACACCCCTTCTACAGGCTGTATTGCTGCCCCAGCCTCTTGCCTTAAGCAATCTGCCACTGTGTTTCTGGAGGAAAAGCCCCCAGGTTCTTATGCTCAGCTTAAGCATCAGCCAGTCCTACCCAGCTAAACCACAGCACCTGTGACCCACAGAGGCAGGAGACGCTGCCCTGGGGGCAGATGGGGTGGAGGTGATGCCAGCAGCTGTGGGTTGCCAGCTGGAACTGCTTAATTTAAAGACCAATTCAATCCAAATGAAACGAGATTTGATAAAGCACCGTCTTAAATGCTCAGCACAGTTTCTCTGAGGATGTCCTGGATGACACTTTAGAAGTCTCCCTGTGAAAAATGATGCTGGACGTGAGATAGCGGTTCCTCTCAGCTGAGTTTTATTGCATTTTGGGAAGTCCCACCCTCCTCCCTTCAGGTGCAGGCTTTTTCCTGGGACGACTCTGCACAGCAGAGAGAAAAGACCAGCTAAAATAGCCCAGTCCCAGCTTTTTGGTGTCCCAGAAAGGAGAAGGGCAGTGGGTCTTGATGGGCTCTGCAGCTCATTTACCTCCATAGAGATCTTCCAAGAGGAGTTCATGGACCCTGAGAAGATAAGGAATGACATGAACTTTGAGGTATTGACAGGGCTGGAAGCAGAGGGAGTTGTTGGGGGGTGGTGATGTGGGACTGGTGAAGACAGCCAAGGAAACCTGTTGTGCTGGGTGACAGCTGGGAGGGGACTAGGCTAAATGTCACTGAACGGGGGAGCGGGAGGAGGTGGTGGGATGGAAACTGTCCAGAAAGCAAAAGCAATCTGACCGTGGCAAGATGACACGTGAGTGGCACTTGCTGCGACGCCGGAGGGATGAAGTGTGTTTCCAGAAGCGGCCAGAGGAAGTGCAACAGTTCAGAGAACTTGCAGATAAGGGGAAGAAATGAACGAGCAGAAAGGATATGAACTCACCCCGATGCAGCATCCACCTAGAAATCATGAATCTGCTACTCCCAGGAAGGAGGGTAAAGGTTGAGGACATGAAATAGGTCTGAATATACTGTAAGATTTTCCATCTGGTGGACTCTCCACATCACCTGCAACTAAGAAACTGCTCGGGGGAGATACCAGTCTGCCCAGAGATGCCCAGACTGGTTGTCAATAGGCAACTCCCTGCTTACTTAAAGCCAAAGCTATTCCTAAAGCTATTTGCCAGCAGGTTTTCTGTTTAAGCCATGACAAGTCGGGCTTGCCTGTCCTGGTTGGAAATGCATGTATTGCTGGGCTCTGGCCTCTGCACAGATCTTGCCCGGCAAGGACCAGGTCCTGCTTGGATCGTTCACCTCAGCCGTGAGGGATGGCTGCCTGGCACAGCACGGTCCCACCTGAGCACGTGGGGGCTTCCCGCAGGTTCTCCGGCTCCCCAGCTCCAAGCAAGCTGCTGACCCTCACACGGCATCGTAAGGTTGCGCATTACCAAAGGGGCTGACCCCTATGTGCCAGGCTAATCGCGGTCACGCCATTTCCATTTGATTTCCATATGCTGAAGGAAGATGGGCATATACAGAAACCTGTATTCCACAGGGACATTTTGGGTTGGGATGGTCTGGACTGATCTGCTCAAGGTGCCTGGTCTTGTCGAAGGCAGTAATCCCTCGGGATGCATGTTGGGGTTGGATAATCAGGGAGCTGTTTTTGTGAGCAATCAGTAGATTAATGTCACATTTCTAGGCTTGGGCTGCTGGGGCAGTTTGGTCACCCAGAGGCATTGACAGTGTCCCCTGTTAAGATTCCCTGCGGTAAAATATGCAGAGCTGCAGTCTGCAGAGAAATGTGCTTTCTCAACAGATGTGGACATCTTTCTTTGTCTTCTGGTGTTGCAGAAAATGCTTCGTCATCTCAGGGGATGTGAGTAGTCTGCGTCTTTCTAAGAACTGAGCAGAAATGTTCTTTTAGGCCTTCATTGCCACTTCTGCCTTCTGTTAGCCGTTATGGGGAAGGTGATGGCCAGGCACCATTCCTGGCATAATGCTTGTGTGTATTCCTCAGCCCTGGAAGTCTGGGATTTGCTACTTTAGGAGATCATTACTTTTGTATGCAGCATGCAAACCCATCCACTTCTACACTTTTTTTTGCATGCTGGCCCTCCAAAAGAGTCATGCTCTCCTATTTTGGTGTCTCTGGGAAGAGTCATTCTGGGAGGAGGACTAAGCCTCTCTCCCTGCAGTGACCCAGGGCCCCCAGTCCCTGGGATGGTGAGAAAGGCACAGAACCGGCACTTGTGAGCACATGGGCATTTTGCCTTCGGGGTGTCTAATTCCCTTCTGAAAAAGTGGAGGCGTAAAAGCCATCAGACTGTGAACCTTGATTGCCATCAATCTGTGTCTTGCCCAGCTCCTCCTTCTGTGCAATGCCAGACTCCAACCCCCAACTCCCCTGACTGTAGTTACGCCGCTGAATGCCCACAGACACACCAGGGGGATGTAAACAACAAAACCATAAATGATGTCATTTTTGTTCACAGCTAGGCTTTCTCAGGGTTTTAGTTAAAAATACTTTTATACACGTTGCGCTAAATGTTCAGTAAATGCCACACTCTGGTTTCAGCATGAGTCTCTCTGTTAGAAGGTTACAAATTCTGAAAACCTTGACACTGTTGCTCTTGTCTTGGTCTGAATCCAGAGGAAACCACTGCAAGCCCCCCTCCTCTTGGGGTCCCAGCCTCCCCCTTTCCCTTCGTTTGCTGCTCTCGGCTTAGTGCCCTCTGCTTCCCCGTCTCCAGCGGGTGCTCCCTGAGCACCCCGTGAGGCTGGTTTTGGGAGGGATGAGCACCATGATTAGCCCCTGGGACCTGTGGATGAGCACAGGGGCATCCCGGGGATGCTCCCAGGGCTTGCATCGCTCAGCTCGAGCAGCAAGGTCAGCCTCTGACGGCTGCATCAACGCGTATGGCAGACACATCCCCTGCCCTGGGCAGCGTAATCCCTGGCTGCAGATCTGAGCTAATGGTGACACGGGTGCTGCCGCTCCTGCCTGTCCCTGCTCCAGGCCACCTTCCTGCATGCCTCCTCCTTGGCAAAACATGGCACCTCTGAAGATCACCAGGGATGCTTTCTCCAGGCTCACGGGCCTTGCAGGCGGCTGCCAGCTTGCTGAAAGCTGCTGCCTGCCGTTGCCTTGCTCGTGCGAGCTTTGTTCACACCTCTGTGCCCGGGGGTGTGGATTAACCAGCGCGCTGTGTTCCTCACGCACGCTTGGAGGGCTCCTCTGAGCTGTCACGCGTAGGTGGGTGCGAGATCAAGAAAGCCGTGAGCGATTCAGGACTCCCTGCGGGCTCCCAGAATAGCGGTGAGGAGTTAGCTGAGGTACCCCGGGTGGGTGTCTGCTGCGGGTGGCTCGAATGGGACCCGGGTTCTTAAGGATGTCGGCGCGTGGGGTTGTTTGCAACAAGCTCAAGCAGTGCGCGGGCTGGATGATGCTCCCCGGATGACCCTGCGCTGTGTGTCCTTTGGCAAGAAATCCCAAGGCGGTGGAACTGCTTCCAGTGCCACAGGGACAGATGGGGCTTGGATCCAAAGAGGGACTGTGGATGCTCAAGCTATTTTGGAATGACCCCACTGCAGGTCTCTTCCTTCCTGTTCCCTGCTCCTGCTGTTCCCTGAAGCGAGGGCAGCCCTGGGCACCCAGTTTTGTGCCAATCTCGGACCTCAGGGTGAAGCTACCGGGCTCCTACACTCAGATACCCAGCGGCCAAGGTGTTCTCACCTCTGGTGTGGCCACGATGAGCCCTGCTCCTGCAGCTGTCCCTGGGGCATGCAGTGCCCAGGGAGTCAGGGGGATGTGGCCAAAGTCACTGCCCTCGCATGCAGGAGCAGCTCCTTGTCATCAAGTCACAGCTGCCTTCGTGGTGATACCCACCCAGCCATGGGCTCCCTCACAGCAGCTCCTTGGCGTCATGGTTTAACCTTGGCTGGCAATTAAATACCACGCAGCCACTCACTCACCTC